TCACCAGATGTCACATCCATGGGAGTCCAGTGAACAGGGCTGGTCTAGTTCCCACCTTCCAGCAGAGGGCGCCGAGTGTCACCAGCGCTCACATCTTCGGTGTCCAGTGAACAGGGCTGGTTGGGCTCACAGGTCAATCCCAGCTGTTTGCTTCACCTTCGGTGGTTCTTCAAGATTTTTGTTGGTTATATGAATTTTATTGGATGAAATAATAGTCTGTTTTCTGTGTCTCTACTTATTTTTGGTGGTGTATTATAAAATAAGATGTCCAGAATGGTAAATGAGTAACAAAGCATGCCTCTGTGATGAGGTGATTGAGAAATAGCTGTCATAGTTCTTAGAACGTAAATATTTGAATGAGTGAAGGGGGGAGGGCAGTTATTGATTATAATAATGCCTTCAGGATATGCACAATTAATAAATGTAGTATATAAAAAAATATAGTGTCAAAATACCTACCTCATGGTTAATTGTGTGTCAGAAATTATTTTGTCTGTGAACACGTATTTTACTTACATTTTATGCAAGGTCAGATTATTTGCTTTGTAAAGACTTACGGAAGATGTTGTTTAAACTGTAGCTATGCTGTTACTTTGTTGGTATTAAAGGACCGATGAAAATTGATGATTCCTTTCTACACTTAGCCCCATTCTCACGCTTTGTGTTTTTTACATATGCCGAGCCTAAAACCAAACCCACTGCCATTGAGTTGATTCCGACTCATAGCGACCCTAAAGGACAGAGTAGAACTGCTGCATAGAGTTTCCAAGGAGCAGCTGGTGGATTTGAACTGCCGACCTTTGGTTAGCAGCCACACTCTTCACTACTGTACCAGCAGGGCTCCATATACAGGGTTGGTTTAAGCAATGCTTAATGTAATTGGTGAACTCAAAAGAAATCTGAGTTGCTTTAATATATTAGTCGAGGAAAAAATTCTTTCAAATGATGGGAGTGACTTTTTTTATTGGTATTGATCCTTTTTTCTTTTTTTAATGAGAATTTAAATTTTATCAGATCTGTTAAAATGATGAAGCAAACAATTAAGTTTATCAAGGTCTATTTTATGGGGTATTAAATTGAAAATGACTGTGATTTCAGATATCTACAAATAGGGTAGCTTAAGAGAAACATATTAAAGTAACATTTAAATTATATTCTGTTCATAAGAGCATGTTGGTCCCTAAATTGCATTAAATCCAAGTTATTTAATCATAGACTAGGTAATAAACTTTGAAATGTATAATTTGATGGAAAAAAAGGTTTTTTTGCTTTTAATGATCACATGAGTATTGATTGGTGATCTTTTGACATACGGAGAGAAGAGAACTATTTGCTGTTGGAAAAGAATTATTTTAATTATAAATCTGTAACCATCATAGGTTATTGTCTTTCATTTTTGAAGAAAAGCCCTTTATTGTTTGAACTAACTGATTTTAAGAAGGCACCATACCAGCGATTGCAGATCCTCTACTCTGGCCGTACATTAGCAGTTATCTCAGATCGCAGACTTCAGTGCTGCTGAGGGACTGTCACTCGGAATCGCTGACGGGTGTTCTCGACTCAGACGTCCTCATAGCCATTGGCTCTCCGTGTCACCAGATGCGAAGATGTGTGTGAATGAATCTGGACCTTAGTTTGGCCTGAGTCAGTGTGAGCTGTTACGTTCTCACTAGTTCATTTTCTGTTTGCAGAACACACATTCCCTGGCTTTTGCCTTCCGTTTAATTTTCTTACCTTTTCAGAGGCAGGTTTTTGGAGAATGCTTCTTGATGCTCTCTGTTAAAGTTCAGCTAGAAAGACAAAGATTCTGAACTGGTAGGGAAGCTAATCACCTGCCTTTTAAAAATTTTTTTAGGGGGTAAATGTTACATATAAAATACAACCAGTAGCAGACTCTAACAGTAATAATTAAAAGGCTGGAGTTGTAATTGCATGTCTGAGTGAAAGGGTAATTAAACTGAACATTATCTGTTGAGAAGAGTGTAAATCTGTTAAGACCAGGAGCTCTAAACTGCACTGTTCATCGTTTATCTTGCACACTTGAGAAAGTCTGTGCTTATCAGCGGCTTTCAGACTTTATGATGTGGCATACCAGTTGGAATCATCTTTTACGCTGTGCCCTGGTAGGTAACTACGTGTATGTGTTTATCACTAAGAGAAGAATTTCACAAAACGTGCTTACCATCATGACCTGCCAGTATGGTTGAGACCCACTGTTCGAAAAACTCTTATAAAAATAGAAATATCCCTCACTATTGAAATAATTTCATTCTGGATACCTGGAAATATATAAACACAAGTACAGTGCTAGTTCTTAGAAATGTTCCTCTTTGTTTATATTTTTTGACAATTCGTATTTGTGTGGTGTCGGGCTAAATGATGAAAGGTGCCTGGAATTCAGATGACCCTAAGGAAAAATGTGAGGGATAGAATGTCTTTCTGTTAAGGTCCGCACCACTGTGAGCAGTGAAAGATGATCATGTGGAATGGCCGAAAGGAACAAGCTGTCTAGGCTACCCCTGTATCAGCAGAGAAAGAAGAAGCCTGGTGCATAGGAAGCCTTTCTCTGTCATGAGCGAGAGCTCGGTTTCAGGCTCAGCGTGGTTTCGTTTTCCTTCATGTCTCCTGTAGTGTCTTCACTGTTACTTGAGCCATAGCTCTAGCAGATGCAGAGCAGGGGGCTCTCGTACCGTGTCCGAGTCATCACTGTAACACGGCGTCCCGTGTCAGCTCTGCTCCGGGCTAGGAGGGTATAATTCAAGGAGCAGACCTTCTGTGCGCGGCCCTGATTAGACCACTCCCAGTATCTTCATCTGAATATTTGAATAGCTTACATATGAAAACAAGGTATTGTGCTGTTTGTCATTTTGCATTTGGAAAAAACTCTGTAGAGATTTAAAAAAAATAGTTGCAGAAATCTACACAGGTTGTCAATGGTATTGTTCACTGCATGACCTGATTTTAATCAGTGTTAACTTTCTTCCCTTAGAAGTCAGGATGCTCCTGGGCCTGAACTGATACTGCCTGCAAGCATTGAATTTAGAGAGAGTTGTGAGTAATTTCAGATCCCATTGTTAGTGAGCTATTTCTTGTTCCATTTTGTTCCATCTGATTTTCATGGATTTTTGTGTTGTTTTTTTCTTTTTTTAAAATCTTTTCACAGCTGAAGATTCATTTTTATCTGCCATCATAAACTATACTAATAGCTCTACAGTCCATTTTAAGTTATCACCCACATATGTATTATATATGGCATGTCGGTATGTATTGTCGAACCAGTACAGACCTGATATCAGTCCTGCAGAGCGCACCCACAAGGTCATTGCCATAGTCAACAAGATGGTGAGCATGATGGAAGGAGTGATCCAGGTGAGTCACCTGCAGAGCCAGGGGCCTGCACTGTGATACTTATGACTTTCGCATTACTTAAGTCACCACCTTTAACTTTTCTGATTTGGGTACACTTTTGACTCTTTATTTTTAAGATAAGTTTTTTTTTTTCCCCTGTAAAATAAGTTGTTGTAGAAATAGTGTATAAAAAAATGTATAGCTTTAAAATGTTGAAAGGAAATGTCAACTTTTTTTTCTGCTTCTTTTCTACAAACCAAGACAATGGAAGAGAAACAGTGTGTGTGACATCATAGTGATCATGGGAAAGACCCTTAAAATTGCAATAATTGTGAGAAAGCATTGAGACTGTCTTGTGGGAGCTAGAATTTTTTAACAGTTGTAAAAAGCGCTTCCTCCATTATAATGAGCCTACTGGGATATGTAGTAATTGTTTGATTTTTGATAGCACGTATATAGTTGTTACTCTATTTTGAAAATGCCAAGAAGCACGGGCATTCTCCTGGTAGAACAGATTGGTTCCTTTAAGTACTCTGTCTACAGTTGATAAAATTGGCATGGTAGCTTTTCATCCTTGGAGATAATTTGAAGATCTTTCAAGTCCTTAAAAGTAAGTTATGTTTTCCAGAATTTGTTGGCAAGGCTATTATTCAGCTATAAACTAAACAAACAAATAAAAAAATACCATGGCTGTCGAGTCAATTCCAACTCTTAGCCACCCTGTAGGACAGAATAGAGCACCCCATAGGGTTCTCAAGGCTGTAACCTTTACAGAACCAGACTGCCGCATCTTTCTCCCGTAGAGTGGCTGGTGGGTTTGAACCGCCGACTTTGCAGTTAGCAGTGCCACCAGGCTCCTTTAGTCCACTGTGTAACTGTAAGAACTAAGAATTCTAGTTACGTAATGTTAAGTAACATAGTTCAGTGGACGTGGTGGTTTTTCTTCTGGCAGGATCATTGGAGGCGAACTGAAATAATCTTGTAATTCCCTCAAAATTGTTTTAAAAGGCCAAAAAATTTCAAGAAATGTTTCTTACATGTTTGAGTGGTTAGCATAATATGAGTTTCATGGGTTAGGAATCTTTTACCCAAACAAGGAAATAGATGAAAGGAGAGCCAGTTTATTTGGATACCATTTTGTTATTCCCTGAACATTATTTTATAAACAAACACGGATTTCCTTTTCAGTTTTCACTGAAAACCATTGTCTGTCTTCCATTATGTTTGGATTTCTAAAGTCTGTTTCAAATTTTGAAGCTCCTATCCTCAGAATGCTCTTGATAGACTTTTCGTTACTGAATTTGAACTAGTCTGTGAAATTACCATTATGAAAACAAGTCTTTTAAACTTCATATTTAGGTTTAGTATGCGATTGCAGGAATCTTAAAAATTCTGGGAAAGAACCATGGTAGTGAATATGTAAAATCTTTTAATTTGTAAAAACCTACTTTTAAAAACAAAATAATTTATTCCTTTTAGTATAGCTATAATAGAAATTCCTTATACATTTTTAAGTTCATAACTTATTTTTATTGTTTGTATTGGTCTTTCCTGTCTCTTTCATGCTTATAAAATTAATGCAGGGAAAAGGAAGAAAGGACTCTCATTTTATGTGCCTTTACGTAATAGGCACACAGTATCATTCAAAGGCTTTTAGAAGTCCTTTGCAGATCTTCTAAAGAGATCAGTATGTTCATGCGTGTTTATTATTATAACTTTCTTAATAGGTAAATGTTTAAAAACTCAATTGTTACGGCAGTATTAAGAACATAGAGCAAACCCTGTATATCGTGTCCTTCCAAAGCGGCTTCAGGACACGCGTGAAATGTCACTGGGGAGTAACACAGTGTCGTGCCTTCATGTCGTGCCTTCATGTTGGTGTTTTGAGTTTTTTAAACGATCATGATTGTTTACAAGTTTCTTTCTCTCGTTCTGCTTGATTTCCCCTCGTCTGTTTTTCTCCAGGAAGTAGACCAGGTTGATCAGGTAGGACACACCGCTGGGAACTGATCCTGGCTCTGTTGGCTTAGCTGAGTTTCTCATGCTGCTTCCATGTCCAAGTACAGCACTCCAGCAACTGAGCTGAGCAGTTCATAACACCCATTCAGCACCTGAGACATGCAGTACTAAAATCCTTTTTGACTGTGCAACCTTTACCAGCATTTCATAATTTCTGCTTAATGCACTTCCGTGTGGATATGAAATGACAACAGTTCTGTTTCTTCTCTTTGTTATTTATCCTTGGTTCCTATTCTTTGGATCTCATCTGAGGTTGCCTGGCCTGCACATGTGGTCGGGAGATGATGCGATAGATCAGTACTTGATACTGAGTTGCATGGTGTCCAAGCCAATGACTAGAAGTATCAGGGTGGCTGTGGGTGACAGTGGATACGTGAGTGTACGCTTCACAGATTACCAGATAATGCACGTCCAAATTTGGTATTGCACTATTGGATAGCTCCATTTCTCCACTGATTCCCTAAATTGTAGCTAATTAGATCTGTTACGTCTGCTTTTGTGAACTCCAAGACGTTGCAAATGAGTATTTACGTTCCATGGCTGTGTATGTGCCCAAATTCGTTTGCAAATATCTGGTATCTGTGGTAAACACCTTGGTGAGATGGGAAGGTACTGGTCTGTCTTCAGCAGCTTTTCAGGAGCTTTCCCTTTTGTTTTTACGGTGGTTTCTGTCCCGTGGTTGCTCACGGGCTCTGTTCTGCCTGCAGAAACAGAAGAACATCGCAGGCGCGCTAGCCTTCTGGATGGCAAACGCGTCAGAGCTCCTCAACTTCATCAAGCAGGACCGGGACCTCAGTCGCATCACTCTGGATGCCCAGGATGTCTTAGCACACCTGGTTCAAATGGCGTTTAAGTAAGAACAGATTCTTTTAGAGGATATTCTATAAAGATTTAAATCTTATGTTTTATTGTCCACTCTCTGAACTAGTTTTAAAGGTTGTTATTTGCCGTAATTGAAGATGAGTATATATAAGAAACATAATTATATGCAAAATGTGTTGAATTTTAATATTGAATTCAGTGAGCTTTGCTTGGAGATTCCTAAAAGTAAAACCTGCGAAAGCCAGCACCTGTGTTAGACAGAAACACGTCAGAGAAGGCAAACTCAAATCTTTCCGCTAAAATAAGCGATAGAAAAGCGGCAAGATTTCACCCTGTCTAAGGCAGAAGACTTAGGAGACGCAGAAAAGCAAGGCAGTCCCTTCGAGTTCCAGCCCTCACAGGTCTCACTGTGTGGTTTGAATTGGGAAGTATTCGTTAAGAGTACAGTTGTTTCAGAGAGTGATACCGTGTCTGACAAAGCAGCAGTGCATCCTGCCGTGAGGTTTCAGCCCTGATGAGTCTTTGAAAGAAGATCCTGAAACAGTTTTAGAGGGGAGACGAACGAAGACTTTCAAGGCAGGTGATCATAGATACTTGCGTCACAGCTTTTGATTATTTTGGTAAGGTTCAAGCAAGATCTGTTTACCTTTATTGGAATGTGGATTATTAAAATTGTTCACTTATTTTCAGATACTTGGTTCACTGTCTTCAGTCAGAACTTAATAATTACATGCCAGCCTTTCTGGATGACCCTGAAGAGAATAGTCTGCAGAGACCCAAAATAGGTTAGAATTTTCTTTTTTTCTCTCTCCCCCCTTACCTTTTCCCCCCTCCCTCCCTCCTATTGAACTTCATCGTGATGTTTAGTACATGTAAGGGGGTATGTTTTCCAAATAAATGAGATGTCCTATTGGATTTGGCATTCTTTAAAACAATAAATTTTAACTGCCATCTGTTTTGTTTAAGAATAGTTCCCGTTTTTGGTGTGGCATCTTTTGTCATACTTAAAGGGTTTGCTAGGGTGAATTACATGGAGAGTACAGTCGCTAGCTGCATGTAGTTTAAGACTTCCACATCTGAGTGAGATTGGCGTTCTGAACATGCTCTTACGGCAGCTGTGGCCATTAACTATTGTGTCAGAATTCACGGATGATCCTGGATGTTGGTCCTGGCTCTAGCTGTAACCCTGCCCCCCACCTTCTGCACAGATGACGTCCTGCACACACTCACAGGAGCCATGTCACTGCTGCGGCGCTGCCGGGTGAACGCCGCCCTGACCATCCAGCTCTTCTCACAGCTCTTCCACTTCCTCAACATGTGGCTCTTCAACAGACTGGTGACTGACCCGGACTCAGGCCTGTGCTCGCACTACTGGGGCGCCATCATCCGCCAGCACTTAGGGCACATTGAGGCCTGGGCGGAGAAGCAGGGGCTGGAGCTGGCAGCGGATTGCCATCTCAGCAGAATAGTACAGGTGTGTGGCAGTGACTGTCGTGTCCCTGCAGTGAATGCACTTTATTGTAAGTGTGCCTGATTTTATGACGGAAAGAGCTCGAACTCAGACACTTCAACACCCTCCACTGGGGGTTTCCTAGGTACAGGTAATGACACGGAGGTAAGGGCGTCCTGCTTGAGATCCATAGGCATATTTCTAAAGCTCCGCACTGACAGGTCACAATTTAATAATGGATAACAACGAACTCTTGAGACTGTAAACCCTTAAGCATACAAAACCAAGTCACATCCTAATGGCTGTGCCATCTCCGAGGGAGTCTTGATCTTCACAGACTTGGGAACAGTATCCCGCAGTCGAGGCGCCAGCCACCTTCAGCCTCGCTGCCGTTCCTGTATTAGTGCACAGCTTTCTGTTCTTTCTCGGTTTCTTTACGCCTTTTGAAGAGATTGAGGTTAGAAAGGGGCTCCTTACCTGCTTTCACTAAGTGAGCAGGTTATAAAAAGTCACTACAGTGAAACCGCTCAGATCCCCGTCATAGCTAATCCGAATGGTTAGGTAAATGTTTTTCAACTTTCAAAGAGAAAATTTTAAATGCTTTAGGAACATAAACAGTGGAATCTAATTATATTATTTTTTAGTAAAATTAAGAGGCCGTCTAAAAATCTTACTAAATAGCTTCTAGTTCAATTCATTGTGTGTAGTTAATGGAAGTGTGTTTCCTTACATCTTGCATTTCAAAACTTAAGATATTGCAGTTTTATAAATGTTACACAAAGAGTAATGTTTGTGAAATAGTTTAAAATCATGACATGTTATCTATTCTTCTAAATAGGCAACCACTTTGCTTACTATGGATAAGTATGCACCTGAAGACATTCCAAATATAAACAGTACCTGCTTTAAGTTAAATTCACTGCAGCTTCAAGCCTTATTACAGAATTATCACTGTGCGCCCGATGAGCCTTTTATCCCTACGGTAAGTTAATATCGCCGTGTTCACTACATAGTGTGGAACATTTCTGCACAGGGAGATTCAGAGAAAATAGTATAAGTAAAGCGGATGTAATGAGTTAACCGCATTTAATAAGTTAGCTTATTTAATACCAACTAAAAACCAAACCTTTTGCCATCGAGTCCGTTCCGACTCATAGCGATCCTATAGGACAGAGTAGGGCTGCCCTATATGGTTTCCTAGGAGTGGCTGGTGGATTCAAAGTGCTGACCTTTTGGTTAGCAGCCAGATGCTTAACCACCGTGCCACCAGGGCCTCAGATGTTTTTTTCCGTTGAATCATGAGTTACCGTTCAAAGCAAGAAACAGGAACTAGATAAATATTTTAAATAGAAAAGGATTGAAGGAGCCCTGGTGGCGCAGTGGTTAAGTGCAGAAAAGGATTTAATTTAGGGAATTGGGTTTTGGAATGTCACTGGGAGGACTGGAGGAGAGGAACTCTGGAAGTTACCATGGAGTAATGAGGTCAAGGGTGCCCCTGTGGCTGAGGTCCACAGCCAGAGAGCTGCAGCCCCAGTGAACTCGCCAGAGACACAGCGACACCAAGTCACGTCGCACGTGCGCAGTAGCAGCACCAGCTCTGCCTGCCAGTGCTCATCCACAGGCATCTAATGGGTACAACGTGACGTTTCCATCAAGAACAGGTCTGGGAGTTGAGAATTCCCATCTCTAACTTGAAGGACTGTGGACTGGAGGGTCAGAAACTTGGTCCAGTATCTGCTACAGTTGGCTCCCTGTGGAGAGCGAAATTTTGCAAGTACCTACCATCACAGTGAATTAATGTAAACTTGATGCATGTGTCTCTTCTTGAAAGTTAGATATAGAGGCGAGATAAGTAGATAGGCAGATTGATCTCCAGTACTGAGTTTATATGCCAACAAAAGACTTGTACACAGTAGCAAAACTAGAAATAACCCAGTGTCCATCAGCAGTGGGATATATAAATCGATCATGTTATATTCATATAAAAGAATACTACACTGCAATGGGCAGGCAGTATAGCTACACACAACAGCTTGAATGAACATTAGGACATGATTTGCACAAAAGAAGCCAGATACAAAATATATACAACATGGTTCCATGTGTATGAATTTTAGGAACAGGCAGAATACTCTCAGGTGTGAAAAGTCTGGACATGGTGACCTTTTGGGAGAAGGAGGGGACGGTGATGGGTGTGGGGCGGTGTCTCAGGTGTGAAGTTGGGCCGTGGTGACCTCTGGGGAAGGAGGGGACGGTGATGGGTGTGGGGCGGCGTCTCAGGTGTGAAGTTGGGCCGTGG